TGAATGGTGTCTCTGCAACCTGATTACATATTTCTAGAATTTTCGCATGAGAATTAAATTAAGCATACTGGTTGCATGTGAGAAATCTGGGGAAAGGCAAAAAAACGACCATATTTTTTGATTAGGTTCCTTTGGTGCCTTTTCGTTATAGTCAACTTTAGTCTGAATTTGTATGCTTGCGTTACACAACATTGATTGATATAATCTGTTTGAAAATGTTGTATTAGTAAGAGAAATGGAACTTAAACATGCATACTGTATGAAGAGATGTATCTTTCCAAGTCAAAAGCTGTTTATTAATTTCTGGAATGATGAGCATGAATTATCTATCCTAGTGTATGAAACGGCACGTGATAGTTTATACAAGAGCATATGACAGTTTTAGTGATTAATGACTTTTCATTTAAGATTGTTGAATTCTGGTTTCTAACATATGGTATTGAAACGGTGCAATGAAGGAAGAGGTGTGTTCCTCTGGTAGGAAATGTTTGAATTAGATTGGATAAATCTGATCATTATTTCTTTTAATGGAATATGAAATGAATATGTTATTTTCACCTTATCATGAAATTGGAAATTGATATAATGAGTAGCATTTCACTAATTGATGTGTGCAAGTGCTTGTGTACGTGCATAAAGGAAAAAGTGTGTTCTTTCCTTTGGAGAATATTTGAGTATATTACTAGCACTTGCTTACTTAATGATGCATGTTATGGCGTTCAGTCATATGGTTAAATGGTTGAAGTTTTTGATTGCATACTATATTATTGCAATGAAATTCATCATTTTATTGTATATGTTACATAGGAGAAAATTCTACAGTGTTAGAATTTTATGAAAAAAAGTATGTGAACTTCCATGACCATTTCTCTACTAGAAAATTAAAAATGACATGATAAATTTGTTTGATTGATTTCATGTCTTGTTGAACTCATATTAACTTGGGTTAAATCGATAGCCTCATTTAATCCTATGGAATTAAGTGAGATGATTATATGTCAATTATATTTGCATAAAAGCATGACAAATTGTGATTTGTCCTAATTTATTTTAAAGCAGAAGATGCTTGTACATTTATTGAGAAATGGAAATATTTTGTAGAGCATAAATTGTGTTTGCATACTAGTATGACAAAATTTATAATATGCTCTAATTAACCTTCATGTATAAAGGATATTGTGGAAATCAATTTTGATTAATTGATTATTCTCACTTTGCTGTGACAATTGGGAGTGGCTTATGCACGACATTTTAAAGAATACAATTTAAACCAATTGTGGTGGCTAAAGATCTATTTGATCATGGTTGTTAGGCGGTGATTAATTTCAATATATGGGCTGTCACATTTGCTTGAATAATACACGAACCGACTTGAGTAGCCCACATGTTTCTGTAGGGCATCATTTGTTGCACGGTGTATTTGCCATTATGTTGGTTTATGGACTTCGAAGTGCAAGTAAAGCACATCCATATTTATGCTTTGAGACCAGCCTATTAATCTTTAATAGGTCTAAAGGATGTGTAAGGATGCCTACCATTTGTTGGAAGTACATGAAATTTCATGACTACTTGTTCTATTGGAATATGAGAATCACTTGATAAACTTGATGATTGATTTCATGTTCTATTGAAATGTTGATAGCCAAAATTAAGTGAGAGAATCTTATGTAAAATCGTGTTTGTATACAAATATGACAAAATGTGATTTTGTCCAAATGTGAATAAGGTAAATAGATGCCTTATTATTCGAGATGATATAATTTTGTCTTGTGAAAGTGGCAAAGTGCAATTCTTATGAAACAAGAAGCACGGTCTTATTTATTAATTGAATTTGACTTCAAATGTGGAACTAATTGAGTTGATTTATGCTTGAAAAGGCATTAATGGTCTATGAGATGACCTTAATCAAATGGTGTGATCAAAATTAAAGATAGTGAATTAAAAGTACATTGTGACTTAACAATCACTATCTGAAATACTTAAAACTTTCACGGGTATTATCAAAGTGATAAGTGAATGAACTATGAAAGAGTTAATATACTCAAAGTTCAAGTACAATCCCAAATGTGGGGGTTGACATAGTGAGGAACTCTAAGTTCGAGTATAACCCGAAATGTGGGGGTAAACATCAATCTTATGAACTTATATGAGAAGTTCAAAGATATATGGATGCAACATAACAAGATTGCAGAAGAATTCCTATTTTTAGGAATTTGCGGGGTAACTTAGTTTAAAAAGTTGCCATATCCTTTACCTTTTAATCATAGAAATACATCTATGATGAAAAAGGTAGAGAAGACTTTGTAAGGATGAAACACACTAAGTCTAAGGTGGATTAAATGGGCAAAGACCGATTGTGGCGCTTGCAAAACTAATGGAATATTTAAAAAATATTCATTGAAGATCATTGTAATGATTCAATGATGATATGTGAACACCCAAGTATGAAAATCCACAAATAGAAGTGATTGACTAGTGTAATGAATTAATGGAAGTCATCCAACGGTGTTTTAAAAATCAATAAGGCTTTTTATATAAAGCGATTGAGAAGCATGTGGCTTCTTGGTGGTGACAAGTTGTATCTATCAAATGAATCGATCATTGGCTAGCTATATTTTGATAAGATACTAAATCACATGAAATGAGAAGTAAAAACATATAAGTCTTAAAGGTGACGTCACATGGAAATTATCAAAGGTGGAATAATTTTCGAAGAGAATTTAGCGGATCCTTTAACTAGACCACTAAATAAAACTTTAGTGGTATCTACTTCGAGTAGGATGGGGTTAAAACTCCTAATCTATAAAGGTCCACCAATGACGGCAACCCTACCTGTCATTACTCAAAAGGTAATCTACGGACTCAAAGGGTAAAAAATAAGTCATTCGATATGTGGGATGGTTTCAGCATTATTGAAATCCGCATTGACCATATCCTAAGTAAAATAATGTTAGTTGTTACTGAAGTGAGGGTTGAGCATTAAAGCTCTTAATGAAGTTCAGTACTAAAACACAAGTACCTCTAAAAGTAACAAAGGTATTGGAAGAACTTCGCCTAAACAAATTTCGAGGTGGTGCCGCCTCAAGTGAGAGTTCGAGTTTCTCTCTTAAAAGTTTGTTGAGTAGGATGAGCACAAGGCCATAACAGCGCTAAGCGAGTTATGAAGAACTTGAGAACACGTGGTACTCGTGTGTGTGTGTGTGTTTAAACCGGTATTATCACATGGAATAACTGGTTCAAAGCTACAGCTACCTTTGATTCCGACTATACTTTGTTTGGATTACACTATGGCTAGATTCAAATCGAAAGATATCTAGTCCTTGTACATGAGTATCGTATGATTTGAATATGAGGTTTTTTTTTAATTGAATTTTGAACAAGTGGGGGATTGCTGAAATTGTTGTTCGAAAATTCAATGGAAAAACGAAGTGGAATGGAAGTGGAACAAAAGCGAAATGGAAAACCAACCGGAGGCCCATTACATGTGCCATGTGACCGCAAGGCACTTTGGCCATGCGGTTGCATGTCCATCACCCGAGAACGGAGGCCCAGTTTCGAGTACTCCATGCGACCGAATGAAGTTATACCATGCGGTCGCATGGTAGTTCCGGAGTGACCGTTGGAGGCGGTTGTGGTTTGAAATTGACGGCTTTTCAATTATGAATTGGCACCACTTCGCATAGCCTTGTTTCATGGCTATATATAGGTGATTTGTGATCATTTCAAGGGTGTGAAAAACCATTACAAACATGAGAAAAACATCTTGCAAGCCAAACATTATTCCACATTAAATCAAAACTTGATTTCTCATTCATATTCAATTCTTCCTTGTGTTCTTAAAGTTTTGGAGGATCATTTTTATGCTTTAGTGCTAGATTCTTTACAAAACTTGATATAATCCTACAAACCGTTTGTCAAAATCCTTAAGCAACTCAAACAATCCCGAGAGGAGGCAAATATAGTTTGAGGACAGTGATTACGCGTTCGAGCCTTCATGTTCGTTGTGTTCTTCATCTTCTTTGTTTCATCTTCTTGATCATATTTTCTGAAATTTTCTTCTCCATTTTCCTCGGTTGATGCAAATATTTCCAATAGTACCCAGTACAACATAACAACATTAAGATATATTATTTATGCAATAAAGTCTATTACAAACCTATATTTGCAGAAATTTCGAACTGAATTTTCCTCATTTTTTATGTGAAGAAAGGTTGAGGCTGAAAAGAGGAAGAAAATAGTTTAGTGGAAAGTGGGGTGAGCGGAGAAGATGTAACCAATTTTGCTTCCAATTTGCAGAATTAATTTGTTATGCGTTGAAAGACCGCACATTACAAAGAGGAAGATGGAGGACGCGGCACACTGCAAAATAGAGCTTTTGAACGTTGCAAAAATATGGCTTTCTGCAACATTTTTTGAACGTTGCAAAAAAATAAAACTTTTTGCAATGTTCAAAAAAGTTGCGAAAAGTAACATTTGCAACATTTATTAAATAAACATTGCCAAAAGCCAAAATTTAATTACATTAACTAATTGCAACATTCGCTTATTAAAATGTTGCAATAAATCCATTTAGCAACACTTAACTACCGAATTTGCCTTTTATGTGTTTTAAATGATCATTTTTTGTGTAGTGTATAGAATTATTACATTTTTTGGAACTGAAATAGTACTGCATGATATTTCTATTGCATGTTTGACAACCATTATTAGGACAAAACAGAATTTTGAATAGTGATTTTTAAGAGAATGTGTGTTCAGAAAATGGGAAAAATATTGAGTTTACGTGTAGGATATTTTATTGGATGAATGTATGATTGAAAATAAGTATGTAAAAAATAGAGTTTGAAAATAATGGTTGTCAAACAGGTATTGAATTGGATAGTTCTCTTTAGCTTCGGGAGGATCCAAGTTTAGTGAACTTGCAATATTTGTTAATAGATATAAATACTCACATCGTAACATAAATCTAACATCTGAAGTTATTCGTTCCTTTTTTATAGGCACCAAATTCTTTGTGGTGTGTGAGCCTGGAACACTTCATATGGAGGCTCTCCTGAAACACATATACGAGTTATACACTGATTATGTTTTAAAGAACCTTTTCTATGAGATGGAGATGCCAATTAGTTGTGAACTGTTTGACGTGAATTTGGCACGGGAAGTACAAAAGGATCGGGTTGCATTACTGGGAAGATGAATTGCTCTATCCTGACAGTTAAGTGATCAGTTTACATTTGTTGAGTACATTCGTGTCATATATTTCTTTCTTTTTATGTTCCGTTTACATGAATCTTGAAAAAAAAAAAAAAAAAATTAATTTTGTTGTATGTTGTAAGAGCACAAGCACGACCACAAGCAGAAGTGGTTGGCATAAGTTGTGGATGCAGGGACAGTGATATTAGTAACATTACGTCATTTAGCACTATAGAATGTACACCTAATTGTTCGTGGCTAAGCTAAGAAAAAGTCGAAATTGACAAAGTGAATTAGAAAATAGGTAAACCTAATAAGGTGAACAAAATCCTTTTTCTGTCAAATGTTGTTGGTTGCTGATGAACTTCGACCTAAAGAATTCGAACACAATTTGATGTAAACTTAAGTTATTTTAATCCATATTAATTAGATATAATAATGATTAAACATCTAAAAACCCAGAATATTATACTATTGAAACAATGAATATGTCTATGTAAAATTATGTAATTGGTTCTCATAATTTCTAGAGTAATAATATCAATTTAGATGATGCTAACATTAAATGAGAGGTACAACTAAATAACTCACATAATTTTATTTCTTACTGAACATATCATTTAGTGTCATTCAGACTAGTGTAAGATCAGTTTTTATTTTGCCACGCATGGTGCCATATGCAAGTCAACACAAGTGTGTTCCTAGAATCAAGTAGCCTCATCAAGGTGCTTGAACATCTAACTTGAGCTAGGACTGATATGCTAAGCGTATGAAGCCTCATTAGTATCATCTATTGTAGAGGAGTCGACAATTGGTTCCCTCTCCAGGCTAGGTGATAATGGATGAGCTTGAACCATTTTCGACCCGAAGATTGAAGTAAATGGAGAAACTGTTTGACTTGAAGAAAATTCTCTTTTTAACTTCTCTCTCTACCCCATATATGACAATAAAAGTAGGGATCAACATGATCTTCCCAAATAGATAAGAATTATGTGACTCCGTATATCCTGCCGCATAGTATGCCTTGTTTGAAGGGAACAAAAAACATTCGAAAATTCCTGTTGCCACGTGGTGAGGAGACCACTGCCATGTGTATAAATTAATAAATGTTAAAAGTAAACAGTATTAGTATGTAATAATGGCTGAATCAATGAAGGTAAACACGTGTCCATTGACTTTATCTTTTAAGTAATGTTATTCATACTGAATATTATTGTTAGTCATCCTACATTACATATACATGATAGTTTGTTATTTGATTTATATAAATAAAATGTATGCTCCGTTCGATCCCTAGTCGATTCTTCCACACTCAAATTATACTTTCATTGCAATCACTTTATCATCTAAATGCAAACGATTGTCATACCTTTCATTGAAATGATGGCCCGTGTATTCCAACAATCTCCAAGCAAGCAACATTTATGTAGACATGAAAGTTAACTCTTGAGAGTCTGGTCGATCGGATTTCAGAGGTAAAAATATCGTGTCAGCGAGAATCAGATACAGAAAACCATGAGTGGACGTACAAGCCCAAAAAACCTAGAAAGTAATATGAGTGAAAACAAAGGAAGTCATTTAAGCTAATCCGAAGACACTGTAGATAGTCACCATAACAAGTTCCAAAATAATTTCTTATGAATTTATGTTGTATTTCGAGTTTCAAAATTTTCAAAAAAGCGTGCATAAATTTCTTGGATTTTCGCTGTCGATTTTTTTTTCCCCCTCCAATGAAGCTTGATAGAAGAGACTACAATATAAGATTTGTGATCAAATAAAAATTATGTTATTAATGTAGTTAAGAGACCCGGACATAAGTTAATTTATGGAGAAAATAAATGAAAGCATCTTATTTGTATTTCAATTTACAATTTCGAGTTTACATTCAACTTTTGTTTTGACGGTTTGTTTTAAGATTATTGAAAATATGTTTGATTTGAAATTTTGAAAAATTGTTTCTCAAAATAGAAAACTGAAAATCACATTTGGTTTGTAATTTTGAGAAATTGTTTTGTAACTTTTTCTATTGATTTGATTATTCTATAAAATTAAAAAGAAAAATTATGCTAATATATATCAATTAATATATACATTTTAGAGTTGATGAATCTTACAATATTTTTTCTTTTTACAAATGTAAAATACAAACAAATAACTAGTTGAGTGAATATACAAATTAATGACGTAAAAGTGAATACACAAATTATGTTGGAGGAATTTTGTGAATAGTGACGCCAAAATAAGTATAATGATGGTTTGTAAATCCGTGCCGAAAATTGGACAGAGTAACGATAAAAAAAACACAAACAAGAAGAAGAAAGTAGGGACAAAGTCGAGGCAAGAGTTGGACTCTTTGTCCTTAAGTCGAATTTGCCCCGCAACGGCGCCTACAGATTTCGACAATCGACTCTCAAGATACAACGGCTACACTTGTATTTGTAGCACTCCAAAACACAAATACAACGAACCAAATTTAGGCTTATGTACTCCAAGGATGAAATGAAGGAAAATCAAAATAAATGAAATGATTTTGATTTTGGATAGAAGAGAGGATGAGAGATGTTTTGCATATCAAATTGTGAGGAATAGGACACCCAAAGGGTCCTATTTATAGACCATGAAAGGGTGTGGACGAAATGGTTGAGGCCAAACCATGCACCCTTTCCAAACAATGCACCTTTATGAAAAGGTGTCTATTCACCGAACAACGGTGCGGTTTACCAACCATGCGGTCGCACGGTCAAATATTTTGACCTGATTTTCGTCTTTTTTCGTAATTTCTCATTCATCCGATATTAGTTTTCGAAATGCCAAATATACCCTTCAATACATGCAGAGAAATCAAAATTCTCTTTCGGGGGCGTTGCCCCCGGGCCCCCACGGGGGGTGCTGCCCCCTCGACCTGACCGGGCAGGTCGATCCCCGTTTGTGCGCCCGAAGCGGCGAAGTGGCGAACAATTTTGCCTAAACGGATTGAGTCGAGCTTTTGAGTATTTGGCCGAAGTCGATACGAAGTCACTTTAATCAATTTTCAATTCTCGATTTATTTAACCAATATCCAACAATCCCCCACATGAATGGAAATTCCTCGATATGCGCAACACAATGCGAATGCAATGCAAATGAAATGCGGACTCTAACAAATGGAGTACACAAGTCAAGTCATAGCATCAAGATAGGTAGCTTGTGGCCTTGAACCTTCTTTATTTGAATACAATCAGATTTACTAGGCTAGTTGGTGAACGCAATGTCTTGAATCATCCAGCCGTTCGTGTAAAACCAAACAACTGTACCAACACCATGACTCATCTAACCTATTCGGTTCTCATGGTTGAGTCCATTTTGGCCCTGGACAACTCTTGGTTTCATAAGTGCTCTGAGAGAATTAAGCCTCGAATTCTCGTAGAAACGGCCCCACTTCACACTTATATATGTGATCTCATACCTTTCTATCTCAATACACATTTTACATAGCACTTTAAATTTTAGGAATGGGAATAAATGCTTTATTCCGAATCATTTATGACTTAGTTGTCCCATTGAACCAAGATCTTGGGATCTCCAATCTACAAGGTTGGGTTTCCGTCAAAGTAATTCTATTCAATAGGCTTTAGGCCCATTCCCCTCGAAAGATGGTATACTTGATCTCTTGCAAGTCCTTTCGTCAAAGGATCAGCCAAATTTTCTTTTGACTTCACATAGTTAATAGAGATTATACCATTCGATATTAACTGTTTAATGGTATTATGTCTCCGACGCATAGTTAATAGAGATTATACCATTCGATATTAACTGTTTAATGGTATTATGTCTCCGACGGATATGTCGAGACTTACCATTATACATACTGTTTTGTGCCCTTGCTATTGCCGACTGATTATCGCAATGTATATTAATCGCAGAAACCGGCTTTTCCCAACATGAAATTTCTTCAAGAAAATTACGAAGCTATTCTGCTTCTTCACCGGCTTTGTCTAACGCAATAAACTCAGATTCCATCGTGGATCGAGCAATACATGTTTGCTTAGACGATTTCCAGGACACGGCTCCACCTCCAATGGTAAATACATAACCACTCGTGGATTTTGAATCCTTAGTGTCAAATATCCAATTTGCATCAGTATATCCTTCTAATACCGCAGGATATTTTGAGTAGTGTAATCCATATTCAACCGTGTGTCTTAAATATCTAAGAACTCGGTTTAATGCCTTCCAATGTACAACACTTGTATTACTAGTGAATCTACTCAACTTGTTGACTATGTATGCTATATCCGGTCTTGTGCAGTTGGTAATATACATTAAACTACCAATGACACGCGAATATTCCAATTGAGATACGGGCTCACCAGTATTCTTGGCTAAGTAAATACCTAAGTCAACTGGTGACTTAACCGGTTTATCGTCATACGCCTTAAATTTCTTAAGTATAGTCTCAACATAATGTGATTGAGACAATGACAAACCAT